TAAGTTATACAATATGATGATTTGATGTATGAGTACACTGTAAAATGATTACCACACATCAAGCTGGTTATCACATCCATCACCTCACATAGTTTCTCATGTGTATGTTGGGGGGGTGGGGTCTACAGCTCTCTTAGCAAGTGCCAAATATATACAACATAGTATTATTAACTATAGTCATCATGCTATATATATCAGGTCCCCAGAACTTATTGATTTTATAAGTGAAAGTTTGTGTCCTGTAACCAACATCTCCCAGCCCCTGGCAACCACCTTTCTACTCTCTGCTTCTGTGAGTTGGACATTTTTAGATTTGTGGTATTAAAATTTATTTGGGGGGATTAGCCATATAGGGCAAAAAGTGTCTAAAACACTCTTAGAAGGTGCAGGAGTGAAAAAAAGCTTGAGAAACACTGGAATATAATTACCAAAATAATTAGAACATGTTTGATAGGGTAATATATGTGTTTCTCGATGAACACATTAAATAATGAGATGAAACAGTGGGCCTGATTACTATAATTTAGAAGTAGTGATAAGTGTAAATTGTTTTTGGAGAATTTGATCAACAACTGTAATGTGATATGAAAATGGCTGTGATTTCTGTTGGTGACAAAGTCACAGGTACTACTAAACCTATGTGGTTTATTGCCTACCTTTGTACTTGGGGAAAGCGCTCAATTTCTGCTAGATGTTAGTGAAAATGAACATGTAGTTTCTTCCCCATCCAGATTCACAGAACCCTCTGAACTCTAGTCACAGGTCTTTTGGGGGCTGCGGTCCCCAAGTTAAGTTCTCCTGCATGACCAGCATCTTCCCAAGCATCCAGGCTTCAAATGCCAAAATTGCCTTTGGCTCCCTCCTCTCCCCACAGCCCACCCACATCCAAGTGATAGGGCACATTCCACCTCCGGCACCCCTAGTCTTTGCAGGATTGCTGCCACTGTCTGATGGCAGGCCTGTGACTTGCACTGACTGTGGCCCTTGCTTCTGATCTGTGCCTTTAGCCTGTCTTTCCCCTCTCATGTATCCAGGTCACTTCTGTTAGATTAATATTCACTCCAATTTTCTCTCGCAGTTTAGAAACCTTGCCTACAAAATTAAGTTTCGATCTTTACCCTTGGATTCAAAGCCCTCCATGATTTTACCACAAATGAAAAAAAAAGCCCTTCATGGTAAAAACCCACCTTTCTAGCTTCCCCTCATGGCTCCTCTGACTGTAACCTAAACTCCTGTAGTCCCTGTGGCCTCCTGCTGTCTATTCTGTCTTCAAATGGTAACTTCTTCATCTTCCCCCTTGAACCAGCATAGTTCTTTACAGGCCTCCGAAGTACTGTTTTCTCTCATTAACGCTTCTGGCACTCTAGCGCCCCCTTTTCATTCATGGCAGGACTGAGCATTGCATTTTCAGAAAGTAAAGTTTCTTTTCCCCCTCAAACCCCAAAGTCCTTTTACAAAGTTTGGAAATTATATTAAAACAAAAAAAAAAGGAAAAGATCACCCACAATTCTATCACTCAATGGAAATTATTACAAAAATATTTAATTTTATGCACTTTATAAAGTAATTCATGGGCTATACAGAGAAATTTGGGAAATGTAGATGACTAAAAGAAGAAAATCTTAAACCCTGTAAACTCCATCACCCATTGAAAATTGGGGATACCACTGTCTCTATAAACATATGTCCTGTTTTTTTCATAAATCTCTCCCCATGTTAAGAACTGTTAAGATAGTTGCATAATAATTCAACTGTAATAACTCATTTAATCTTTATGATTAAATGACTAGCATGTTAACTACCTGAAAAAACAATTTTATTGTTTATTCTGATTGCAAAAATAATACAGGTATATTATGTAAAATTTAAACCTCACAGATAATACAAATTGTAGAATGTATAAATCTACATTTAAGCCATCTAGAACCATCTAAAAGTACTAAAGCTATTTCAGAGGAGATGGGATTTCAGAAACTGCTGACATCAGTCAGGAAGAGGGCGCTCCAGGGACAGATCGGGGGAAGCACAAACTTGTGAGATACTGGACCACAGAAGTCAGAAAGTTAGAGAGAGGGAGATGGTGGCCTGCATGGTATGAGAGGAGAAGTTGGTCATAAAAACCACCAACTCCCTTTCCCCCATCCCACAGGCAAATAGACATTGGTCAGTATTCTTATCATAAATATATCAATTAAGGCTCATTGCGCACAGAACGTCAGCCTGAGTGCTAAGTACAAAGCCTCTTTTTAGATCTGAGGGAATCTGAGCCCTGAGAGAATTATTTTCCCAAGGTCATAAATGGCAAATCCCAAAAGAGATCTTCAAACCAGTGCTACTTTCCCTATATCATGCTGCCTTGAATGCCTTCTGTTAAGGGACGTTATCAAGAAGGGATAACAATTTTATCCACTGGTACAGATGACTTTTTCATGATAGCCATCCAGCAAAAGGTTTGGGACACAAGACACACATGTTTTGATACGGGGAGGGAGTCAGGAAAGACTTGGTGCGAACTTCCCAAACTTCATTCTCATTTCCCCTTCCTGATTTTTGCCATAGCTATGTACCACCTATACTATGATTGAATATTTTCATCTAAAAGAACTCACTTTTAGAGCTTAAATATTACCATTCTACATGACAAAATCCATGAAAAAATCACTTTTTATAGGCTGCTTATTTTTTCTAATATACATTAAAATTAACACATAAAAAGTTTAAATGTCCATCCTCATACCACTGAAAGTCTTCATGTTTGTCATCAGTATGTGTACCGTATTTTGGGAAATGGTGAGCACATGAGCAGCACAGTGAGGCCTCTAAGCAACATGAGTGTTGTACCATGAGTTAGAGGGCCCAGAAGATCCAAAAGGTAAACTTTACTATTTTATTACTAGCCAAATTTAACCCTAGTAACAAAGGTCATATATATTACATATATGTACATATGTGTATATAACACACACGTGTGTGTATATATACATACATACATGCCTGGGACTAGCAAAGGAAGTAGCATGTGGAGTTGGGTGGGAGAAACATCACTGAAGCAAACACAGAAAGGAAAGTGTATCCCAGAGGTTAGGAGGAAAGCCAGCCAGAGATAGAATACGACAGGAGGAGCTGAGCTTGGAAGAGGGAGGGGACTCTGGGACCCAAGGATGAATGACAAAGCTGTGCTCAGCCATGACAGCTGCTCCAGGGAGCAGCACCAGCCCTTGACCGAAGTGTGAAGAAGGCAGAGGTACAACCCTCTGCTCCCAGCCCTTACCACCTGATGTATAGCATAAGGATTGAGAGAATTTCAGGGAACCCAACTGTAGGAAATACACCTAAATGTACAAAGTCACAGGTGACTATGCTCTCCCATTACTCTCCAGGAGTGAATAGTCTTCCATCCACTTAGTATTAGGTTCAGCTGTAAGTGGCAAAAAACCAAAAATAACAATGGCTTCAAGAAGGTAAAACTTTGTTTTTTCTCACAAGTAAAAGTGTGGATAGGCAGTCCTGGACAACCTCATCAGAGACTCACTCTTTTTATCTCATTGCCATTCTCAACATGTGGCTACCTCATGGTTCAAGATGGCTGCTTCAACGTAAGCCATTCCATCTTCATTCTAGACAGCAGGAAGGAGAAAAGAGGAGAAATAGGGCATGCCCATCCCAAGATACTTCCTAGAAATTGCACAGCACATTTCTATGTATATCCCACTGGTCAGAACGCAGTCATTTGGTCACACCCACCGGGAAGGGAGGCTTGGACACATAGTCTTTATTCCCTGTGTCTTGCTAAAACTTCAGGGGCTCTATTGTTGAAGAAGGAAAAGGAGAAGGGGGGAATGTCAAGAAGCAACAAGCAGTCTCCACTGGTCTTTCATCTCTGTGGCTCTCCCCAAATTGACCCTTTCTCTTCCTGCTGACCAGCCTTCTCTGTTCACAGTGTCTGACCCCTCACACTTTCTCCTTCTGCTTACACAGACTGAGTGGCCACAATGTCAGCTCTTAGCCCAACTCCACAAGGCATATTTCAGTTCTAAAGCCATACATGATCAGACTCAGCCTCTGGGTCTTGATTCCAAGTTGTCAGAGGGAACATTTGATTGGTCCTGTTGGATCAGGTGATCACCTCCTCAATTCTGAACCAGCTGTCTGTGGCCTGGGTCACAGTAGGGCTTTCCTTTTTAGGTTGGGGTGGAACAAGTTTTCTATGAGGTGTAAGTGGGAGGAAAGGTGAGCATCTCTGCTAAGTCTTCCTTCTGAGCTTCCTCCTGTTACAACACCCAGCCCACTGGATGTGGTTGTCAGTTTGCTCTTCCTTAGGGCAGGGAGGTACTTATTCATATCTTATCCCCAGAGCCTACCAATTACCTCACGCGCTCAATATTTGTGGTGGAATGAATAATCCAATCTGGTCCTTAATTTTACAGAGGTTGAATACTTGCCCAAATTCACATAATAGCGCAGCATCAGGGCAGCACAAGAACCCAAGACTCCTGATTCCCAGTCCCTGGAGTGATTTACCTGAATTAATCAGCTTGATGTGCCTGCCCCATTATTCAGTACTTGTCTCTGTGCCCCTGTCCAGGGCTGCAGAGAATCTCCCCAAGACGTGGCGCAGGAGAGCCCCAGGCTGGAGGACATTGGCTGCACCACTGAGTCCATTTCCTACCTCAGCCTTCCTGCTGAGGTCAATGTCTCCCCAGAGCTCCAAGCTGGGCCCCTTTGAGGAGATTGTGCCCTGACTAGGCCTTGATCAAAGCTAGGGTCTAAATGCACACCAGACACTTAAGGAGGTGGGCCGAGTAATGAGGCAAAGCTGAAAAATGTCTCCATAGCCACTCACCCTGAGTTGCTCTCAGAGGAGCACCCAGCCACAGAAAAGAGCTGATGCCTCCCTTCCATCCATCTCCTGTTCCACAGCTCCCTTGACCTTCCCCCTATGTCGTCCCATTTCCCCCATGACTCACTGTGCCTGTTCTCTCACTCTCTGTGTACCACAGGCCTCAAACCCCCTGTGGCAATCCCGGGGCTCCACCACCGTGTCTTCAGGAGGTCGTTTCCGCTGCCCATCTTGCAGGCATGAGGTCGTCCTGGACCGACACGGCGTCTACGGCCTGCAGCGAAACCTGCTAGTGGAAAACATTATCGACATTTACAAGCAGGAGTCCTCCCGGTGAGCTGTTAGGGCCTCTTGTCTCTCTAAAGTGCAGGGCCTGGGACACAGCCAGGGAGCCCATCAGGGCCAGAAGGGAGGGGCTGAAATGACCAACCTGACTCTTCAGATTAGTGATGAGAGGACTGGACCCTGAAAGGAGGAGGGACTTGCCCCCAGCTTGGAACTCACCCAACTTAGGTGGCCTCTGATTCCTGGTCAGTGCTTCACCCTCTCCACATGGGGAGGGGCTGGCAGTCCATCAGCAAGGTCCTTGCCAACCCTCCATGACCTCCTGCCCTGTGGGCCTTCTCTGCCCCCTGGAATGGAAACTGCTCTTGGATCTAGGCCTTCTATACCCCATAGCTCTATTCCTCAAATGAAGAGCACTGTGGAAGTTGCTCTCCTGTCCAGCCACAGCACCAGCTGCGGGGGCAGAGAAGGTGGTGGTGGTTGGTGGAGGCTGAAGAGAAGGCATTCATGGGGCCTCATACTCTTGCCCCCACCAGCCTGGCCCCTGACCCTTCTGCCACCCTGCCTGCCCCCTTCCAGGCCACTGCACTCCAAGGCTGAGCAGCACCTCATGTGCGAGGAGCATGAAGACGAGAAGATCAATATCTACTGCCTGAACTGTGAAGTCCCCACCTGCTCCCTCTGCAAGGTCTTTGGTGCCCACAAGGACTGTGAGGTGGCCCCACTGCCCACCATTTACAAACGCCAGAAGGTATCAAGAAGCAGAGCTAGTAGGCATGTGGGTGTGGGGACATAGGACAGGGTCTCAAACTGCAGCCTCTTACTCCACTTGGTTTTAAAGGCAGGCAGATCAGGGCTGAAGTTCCAGCTCTATGCGTGACTCAGTGTGCCCTTGGGTGAGTCATTTGACCTCTCTGGCCCTCACTTTCCTCACTTGTAAAATGGGGATGAAAATGCTTCCTTCTGAGAGTTGTAAGGATAAAATGAGGAATGGATCCAATCAGAGACTTTAGTGTGGTGGACTAGGTACTATCAAGGCCATCTCACTGTCACAAGACTAAGTTCTACATAAAACATAATTTAAAAATTATATTGGTACACACATAGGAGTAAAGGAAATCTCCAAGTAGGGGAGGGGTGGGAAGAAGAGGAGGGGGAGTTAGCTGAGAACAGAACCCTGAGTGATAAGCACAGAAAAGGCAGGATTTTCCTGAGGGCAAATTATTACTGAACTTGAGAGATGAGACTGTGCCTCCAAAATCCTAAAAGGTGAGGGACCTGCAATGAAGACCCACCCAAGGATCCCAGGTTAAACTAGAATCCCAGGAATCCCTAAAGTGGTCAGTTGTGCCACGTGGCTTTTGACTAAAGCAAATATAAATTCTGCCTGGAGGAAAAAACTTTCCATTTAGGCCTTGGGTTTTCCTTGGATTGAGAACAATGAAAGATTAGTCCATGATTGAAGATACACAAAGAAATATACCCATGAGTGAAGTCAGCAGAAACAAAAAGTATAGATTTAGACACCCAAAGATTTCAGATATTAGAATGATTAAAGAATTGAAAGTCACTGTGTATAAAATGCCTTAAAAATGGAATTTAAAAATGAGCATTAATAGACTATATCAAAAATGCAGATTTAATAAAGAACCAAATAGAACTTTTAGAAATGAACATATAATTGTTGAAATAAAACATTCAAAGGATGAATTAAATGACAGATTTCTCTCAGGAAGAGAAGGCTGAAAAAATAACCTAGAATACAGCATTGGGAGATGAGAAGGTTGCGGATGAGAAGGTCTAACATATATCTAATCAGAGTCACAGAATGAGAGAATAAAGAGAATGGAGAATAGGCAATATTATCCTAATGGATAATCACAAAGAATTTTTCAAAATTGATGGAAGACATGAATCAACAGATAAAGCATCTAGCCCAGTACTTGGCATTTGGTAGATATTTGGTGAATGTCTCTTCCTTTCTCGTTTGGTAGTGCAGTACTTCCTCTCTCTACCACCTTCCAGAATCCATAGAATGTGTTTTCATACTTCTTGGATGGTTTCAAACTCTCTAGATAGCTGTAAAACTGTCCTGAAGATGCTCTGATGGTGGAGCAGAGGGGGTAGTCATCTCTTAGCAGCCCTGGCTGGGGTGGTAGGGGTGCAAGCTCTAGACCAGGTCCTCCAGCCCTAATTGCTGGCCTGTGTATGTGGCAGAGTGAGCTCAGTGATGGCATCGCAATGCTGGTGGCAGGCAATGACCGTGTGCAAGCAGTGATCACACAGATGGAGGAGGTGTGCCAGACCATTGAGGTGAGCCTGGGATGGGAGGGAGGGAAAGTTTCTGGGCTCTTAGAGGTGCATCACAAGTAGTGGGATGGGCTTACCCAGGCTGCTGAATCGCAGGTCTGTCCCTCACTAGCTCTGTGACTTTTGTCCAGTTACTTAACTTCTCTGTATTTGGATTGGCTTGATTTTAAATACATAAAATAGTGATGGTGAGAATGATATGATGGCTACCTCATTGGATCTTTTTAAGAATTAAATAAGAGAACACAAGTAAAAACTAGGGCCAGAGATATAGACAGCACTCATGAAGTTTCTTTAAAATATCATTATTTGCTAAGAGAATAGATCTTAAAATTTCTCAATGCAGAAATAAAATTTTTTTAACTATGTGTGGTGATGGATGTTAACTAACCCTATTGTGATCATTTTGCAATATATACAAATATTGAATCATTATGTTGTACACTTGAAGCTAATACGTTATATGTCAATTAAACCTCAACAAAAATATATATCATTTTATTATTATTACTGAAAAAAAATCTGGGAATCAGCAGCCCTTGGCTAGAGTTCTAGCTCTGCCACTAATTTGAGATATAGTTGAGAAGTCACTTTTCTTTTTGGCTTTCTCATGAGGAGGGTGGGACAAATAGCCAGCTGCTCTCTCAGCTATGAGGTCTCATCTTTGCTCCTGGTCTTTCAGGACAACAGCCGGAGGCAGAAGCAGTTGCTAAACCAGAGGTTTGAGGCCCTGTGTGCGGTGCTGGAGGAGCGTAAGGGTGAGCTACTGCAGGCGCTGGCCCGGGAGCAGGAGGAGAAGCTGCAGCGCGTCAGGGGCCTCATCCGCCAGTACGGAGACCACCTGGAGGCCTCCTCTAAGCTGGTGGAGTCCGCCATCCAGTCCATGGAGGAGCCGCAGATGGCGCTCTACCTACAGGTGGGCCCTGGGGGAGGGTAGCAGGCTGCCTGGTGGCTGGAGTAGGGGCCTTGGCACCAGGAGACCAGGTTCAAGTCTTACCTCTGGCACCTACTTGACCCACAGACTTGGGCAAGGCACCCCCTCTGAGTCCGTTTTCTCCTTAACGAATTGGGATGCGCATCCCCACCTACCCGGCAGGACTGTGGTGGGGATCAGAAATGGGACTGCCAGAGGCTGACGTAGTGCTTACTCTCACCCTCCTTTCTTCCCTGCAGCAGGCCAAGGAGCTGATCAATAAGTGAGTAGATGGAGCGGGAAGGGAAAGAAGGGGCCGCGGGGGCTCCGCTGCCACGGGGAGGGGCTAAGGGGCTGGTAATTTCTAGCTGAGCCACCGCCGCTGCCGCCGCTTCAGGGTCGGGGCAATGTCGAAGGTGGAGTTGGCTGGACGGCCAGAGCCGGGCTATGAAAGCATGGAGCAATTCACCGTGAGCGTGGAGCACTTGGCCGAAATGCTGAGGACCATCGACTTCCAGCCGGGTGAGGGAGCGAGAAAGGTAGGGGGCGGCGGGCCGCCGGGACCAGGCGTCCAGACCCTCCGGGTCGGGGCAGGGAGGGGCATGAAGGCCAGAGAATCAGGGACTTCAACTTACCGGGCCTTCCTTCGACCCAGGCGCTTCTAGGGAGGAAGAGGAGGAGGAGGTAGCGCCGGACGGGGAAGAAGGCAGCCCAGGACCAGAGGAAGAGCGGCCAGGTGGGCCGGAGGGTGAGTGTGGCCATGGCGGGTCCTGGCTGATAAGCTCCAGCCCACTCCTCCGGCTATACCCCAGAGTGATGCATCAGGTTTGCTTGTAGTCCCTACTCCCAACCTCAACCGGGAGGGGCGCGCCCCCTAGCGCGCTTGCCGGAGTACAACTTCTTTTCCCACCATCCAGTCCTCTGGGAGTTTGGGAGACCAGGTCCGGAGGGGAAGTGAAGGAGAAACCCTCGTGGCGGGGAAATGGGGGTGACTTGGGCTTCGGAGTTGCCTAGTTCCTTTGTAGCGCCTACCCACTGAGCTTTCTTTCCTAGGCACAGGCCTGCACTGACCCGCCCTTGTTGGGGAGCCCGGCACCCGGGCCGGGCGCTCTGGTCGTGAAAGATCTTAAGCAGAGACCACCGTGCCACACAGCTCGACGCCGCGCCTTGGGGGAGGGGCTCAATAAAGGGCTAATGCGTCCCAATCCGCAGCTCCTTTCACTGCTCGCTGTCAGCCTTCGCTTCGCAGACGATCGCATCACCATCCCGCCCTCTCCAAATCTGGGACCATTTTGGGGGCGGAAGTGGAATGAACCCCTGTTGGGCACCTCTGTCATATTGGGCACGGATTCCCCAGCCCAGTGCCAAGGGATGAGGGTCGGGGGGTCGTGCAGCGCCACCGGGGCTTGAGTTCCTGGGAGACACGGGGATGACGGAGACCCTAGGACCCTAGCAGAAAGCCTTTTTTGCGGAGCCTTCTGGCAGCATCTGGTTCCCTCCCGCTGGCCTGGGAGGCCCCACTTCCCCACGGGTTCCCACCCTGCTGTGGTTCCCCTCTTCCCCGCAACAGAGGCCAACGGCTCTTCAGCACTTTTATTAAAAACTAGTAATACGGAGAGTGCTCAGGGTATCCCTAGGCCGCGCTAGCACCGCTGGACTGGATCAGTTCCTGTCACACGCATGTCCCAGCTTGGGGATAGAGGATGGGGGTCGAGGTTTTCGGGGACCCAGACCCCTTGGATCACTTGCCCACCGAGTCGAATATGATGCGGTTCTGTTCGGCGCGCTCCCGCTGACTCTGCGTCCGCGCCAGTTCCAGCAGGGTCCGCAGCAGGTGGAAGGTGAGGTCAATGGAGAGTGGAGGGTCGTCCCGTCGCGGCCGCTCGCCTGCGATCCCGGGTCCCCATCCGCCTTGTCCGGCGCGGCGCGGGAAGCGCTCCGCCAGCAGCAAGAGGAGCGCGCGGGCCCCACCACCGTGGTTCCGCGTCCTGGGGCTCCAGCTCAGACTCGGGTCCTGGACCCCGGCCGCCGCCGTCCTCAGGTTCCACTGGCTGCTCCCCGGGCGCAGCTGC